GGAACAAAACGCGTCATTAAAATTTTTTTTATTTCATTCCTTCCCCCACATTTAATCTTATATATATATATATATATATATATATATATATATATATATATATATATATATATATCGGGTACGTTTTCAGCTAGCAAAAAGTAGGAAGGCTATACTGAATCCATTACTAGCTGTTAAGAAAGTTGGTTCAATATCCTTGTTTTCTTAAACAGTGAAATTAATAACTACTGGCCTAGATTGAGAAATAATCCTTAAGAAAGATTGTGCCCCAGACTGGAATCGAATCTGTAACCCCTTTTCAATCAGGGAAACACCTTCTATAATCGAAAAGTACCGTTACCAATTTGTCCACGCAAGTTGTGTTAATAGAGAAATTTTTAATTATTTATTAAAGGTTTCCATATTTTAATAGATCCATTTTCATAGTGTTGCCTAAGAATCCAATCTCCTGAAGGGACACTGAACATAAAAGAAGTAGATGATATTTCTTGCTTTCTGATTCAATTCATTGACACTTGTAATTGGGTTTTATTTATATCATCTGGTATAGTTAATTGTTTCAAACCAACACGAAGCAACATAAATTTGATAGATTAGCTGAAGAGGGCCAATGAAGTTCCCAAATTGCAATGAGGCAGGCTCCTGAATAACCCAAATTGCAAAGAGCTATAAACTCACAACGGTAAAAGCAGATACAATAAACTAAATAAGAGTGGAATTTCAAAGTGGGGCACATTAAGTGAATCTTTAGTAAGATCAGCTAACGAGAGGTTCGCAAAAAATCTAGAGAAGGAAGAAGGAATGTATGACAGATGAAATTCCCGATGAAATGATGACAACAAAGAATACTAATGTACAGAATACAGGGAATTACTCAAAAGAAGTTATATACGTAAGCAAATAAGGGAATACCTCAGTGAAAACTATGCCGAAATAGAACGAATAAGTACGTTTGCATAAAAGATTATGAGAAATAAGACAGCAAAATGTCAAAAGAATGGGATGCTGATAACAGAAATAGAAAAAATGCTTAACAGATGGAACGAATACCTCGAAAAACTCTTCCACGACTATAGAGGAAAGCCTGAAATATGAAAAAAGTCCCATAAATATTAACTTGTGACGTGAAATTATCAGTAGCCAAATTGAACAGGAATGAAGCAGTCGGACGGGATAGAATTCTGATATAGAGATGCCGACAGTCATAGACGTTTTCGGCATTAACAAAATTACAGAAATAATAAATAATATATACGACAGTGGTGATAAACCGTAAGAACTCAGTAGTTTCATTTTCATAGCGTAGCCTAGGTGCAAACGAATGCGATTTCCATCGGACAATAAGCCTAATGAGCCACAGCACGAAACTTATAATCGGAATTAGACTGGAAACAGAACAAGTGTTTGCTAAAGTCACTGGAACAAAAAAAAAGATATTTATGCCGAGAAAGAGCAATAAGAATGCTGAATACCTATGATTTTTTTTATTTTATTTTTTTTAGATTATGCAAAATCGTTTGATAAAGTACGACACAAAAACTTGACTACTAGCTAAACTTGATTTTCCCGGGAAAAATATTAGAATAATCCTGAACTTATACTGAGACTAAACCGCCTTCATACGGATAGAAACAAATTCAGTAAAAAAAACAAAAATAGAAAGGGTCATATGACAAGGATGTGTCTTCTCACCGGACTTATTCAACATTTACATTGAGGTGATCCTACCAGGATTCATTATTGGTGGCAAGAATCTTAACAATATAAGATATACAGATGACAGAGTATAGATAACTTACACGAAAAGAAGTCTACAAGAACTTCCAGAGAATTTACTAAAGGGAAGCGAGAAGAAAGGATGAAACATTGATTTTAAGAAGACAGAATGTATTTTTTTTTTTCAGTAAAAGGAACAGACAAAAATCAAGCAAGTACAATAATTTAAATATCCGGAAGGGTTTTAACAGTCGTCGACCCCGGAATACAAAGGTGCAATGAAATTTTAAAATATGTCTTCCAAAGCTAAGCAAAGTATTAAGAAACAGGAACATTTTATTAGAAATAAAGAAAAACTGGCTAGACCGCAATGTAATATCAGTTATCCTATCTGGCAATGAATGCTAGACAATTTTCTCACAAATGAAGGAGAGATTTGAGTCAAAAGAAGTGTACTTCCATAGAATTCTAACTGAGAATAATATGGACTAAACATGTGATCAACGAGGAAATTTTAAGGAAAAAGAACACTTTTACATAGACTCAGAAAGGGACTATTGATATTCCTTGGGTACCTAAAGAGGGCCTGGAGAATTTGACACTCACAGAACATGCTGAAGGCAAGAAGGTGAGTGGAAAGCAGCGAATAACCTATCGAACGAGCTTTTTGTAAACTGTTTACAGGACAGTTTTTTAAGAAAAATAGCAGAAAGACAAACGTTATTCAGAGCGAAAAAAGATAGAAAATTGTGGAGAGCTATAATCTCCCACGTCCTGAATTGTAGAAAATTAACAGTTTGATGGTGTCATTATTTTCTCTTTACGTGCAACTAATTTTGCTAATTTGCTTATTTACAGTGTAAACCTCAGCAGCAACACCTATCGTGGTGAGGCTGTGGCCTTCTTCATTTCAGAAAATTATACTGCGTAAACAGCGACAGTGGTGAGGCTAGAATGTTAACGACAGATGACCAGCGTAAATAGATCGTGTCTTGAAAATCTACTTTTTATTATTATTATTATTATTATTATTGTATTTGGTCACATGCTAACTCCATTAACATATTTTCGGCTTATTTCTTACAAGCTATTTCTGATTCTAGGTTTATTTGTTTGCTTCTTTTTATCTGTATCATTTTTTTTTTCTCTGTAGTGTAGGGCCTGTTATTTCAATTCTGAAACGTTGACAGCTGCAATGGTTTCAAAACCATGTTTGGCTCATAAAAGCCACGGGTGAAAGCTGAGATTTCAACATATTCTATGAGAATACCTGGATGCTATTATTTTTGACACTTCACCATCATGTATACGCATTTTGATTTAATGTTTGATTCGTTTTTTACGGTTTATCAGCCCTATGCAGGTTATTTAAAGCAAGAAAATAATTTTTTTAGATAGTAAGAATTGTTTTGTTTTGAGATAATCATTGTTTAAAAGTCTTACTAATTAGTAAGGTTTGTATCTCTAAACCATTATAGCTGGAGGAGAATAACTTTTCATATATATTCATGGGTTCCCTTAAAATAAATAATTAGGAACTTTCCATATATTTGTATTTCCGCTTAGCAATTAGCAAAGTGTTTTTGTTCTGGTGTTATATCACTTTCATCGTTTTTCATATAATGCTTGTTGATTTTTTAAAATGTTGTCTGTCGTTTTTGTACTTTCTAAGAATATGTTTAGTATGTGAGTTCCTAAAAATTAGTGTTCTTGGTATATATTATTTTATGCTTAATTCTTTTACTATTTTTAGTTTTTTTTAACATTTATGCCATTTAGTATTTCTGTATTACTAGTAAGGATTTCTCAGATTTCTTAATATCATTTCTTGTAGTGTTGATTGTTTATATGTGATTTAATTGAATAATTATGAGATAAACAGGACATTAATCTGTGTGAAAATATTGTGGTTCTGTAACCAATGTAAGTTTTTGCATTATTATTAATAAATAATAATAATAATAATAATAATAATAATAATAATAATAATAATAATAATATCCAAGTAGCCAATTGAATATTTAAGCAAAATTAGTTTATTGAAGTTTTGATTTTGGTGATTATCACACACATACGTACACACACACAAACACACACAAACACACATATATATAAACATATACACACATACTCATATATATACACTCACAAACACTAATATATATATATATATATATGAATGCACGCAGACACAGATTTATACACGCACAAACTCTCACACACATAAATATATTTATATAGGCACACACATACGCACGCACACACACACACATGTGTTTGTTTGTGTGTGTGTGTGTGTGTCAATCTATAAAGATAGTTAATCGGATTAAGTGCAGATAGATATAGGGAAATTACGGAATAGGGAAAAATGTGCTACTCCTATCGTCAAGCGTGCACCGACTTTTGCTCGAATTGAATGTAGCTATCTCAAGGAAGCTAATATGCACACCATGCAAGCTTTGAGGGAGACAGTAGAATCTAGAAAATTAGTGTAAGGCACGTCTCATCTTAAATCTCTGAAATTGTGTATAGCCAATTCTCTCTCTCTCGCTCTCTCTCTCTCTCTCCCCTATACACATATATATATATATATATATATATATATATATATATATATATATATATAGCTTTCTGTTTTCTCTCTCTCCTTTCTTCTCTCTATCTATCTATCTATCTATCTATCTATCTGCTTTCTCTACATAGAAGTGCGGGTTCATTTTCACATTTGTTTGTGTGTATGTTCAAAATGCGCGTACAAAATGGGAAACTATATAACACCTTATTTTGCAATGAAAATAAATCGATCTGAAATATAACATCAAACAATAAAAAAAAAAATTTTCTCTAAATTTCGACAGTAAAAATCAAACAATTCTATTTAAAGAAAATTTATACTATTTTTATTCTCCACACGGCGTTGGATTTCTTTTCAGTCTTAAACAAATCTCCGTCTCCTTTGTGATGGGCGAACGCTATAGTATTGAGTGTTCACAGATGAAAACATGCTCTGCGTTTTTCTATTTTTTTACAATTCTGACAATTCTAACGAGGGTTTTCCTCTTCAGTTCAGCAGCTCGTATGGATTCTAAGTAGAAGAAATCGACACGCCTTTTGTAATGAGAGACAGCCATAAACGATATGAACGATGTATTTGCTGCTTCCAATTCATTTTCTTATATTAAACTATTAAGCCGCATCTATGTCAAAATTTTCCACATATACATACGCAGGATGTAAATAAAATAACTACCAAATATATGAAGAAGAATTTTAAAAACTCAAACGATAGATAGATAGATAGATAGATAGATAGAGAGTCAGTCATTGACATATCTTCCTATTTAAAGTTTCACAGACACAGATCTGCCCGTTAGTATAAGATAGATATATTGTATTTATTAAAAGAAATTGCACTTATTTTAAATATATACAAATACGTTAATTATTGATCTAAACTAAAGTATGATATTTCAATACAGATTACTTTATTTATAAAAACCTATTCACCATGGACAATAATTTAGTAATCGATTTGTTTTGTTAGACGTAAATATCTTTATTAATATTAGATAGATAGATAGATAGATAGATAGATAGATAGATAGATAGATAGTGTTGACATAGGAATCAACACTGAATGGTGATATTATAATATTAATAAAGATCTATCAGTTTCATGTTTCAACTGAATATTTAGACCCAGTGACAATATTCCTTTAGCGAGCTGTGTATATAGCAGGTTGTTTATAGACGTCTCTAAGAGATTAATGCAATTGAAATAAGAGGAAAACGACACATCCCAGTTTTAAAAATATACTCCTAAATAAATGATTAGAACGCATTTTCCAAATGCAAACGCGAAAATGAATTCATTCTACGTTACCTACAATTACATCATCATCAAAAAGTCTCAATAAACCCCATAACTTAATTCTAATAATCTATATTCTAAATATCAATTTTTTTGGTTATATTCTTATCCAGCAGATTAGAAATGTACTAGAAATCAGGAAAATTTCATTAGAAACAAAAAGTGCTGAACTTTTATGTAATATCAATTCTACTATATGGCTGTGAATACTAGACAATCTCCTCACAGATTAAGAAAAACAGCTCGTTGTTCTCGTTGATACTGAGAATGGACAAAGCGTATAAGTAACGTCTTCAGGCAGACGGAAACAAAACAAAAAGACGCTTATACTCAGAATCAGATAAATGACAGCTGATAACGAGGAAAGAGAACCTGGAGAATCTGATACTCACACAGCAAATAAAATGGAATAAAGAAAGTGGAAAGAAAGAGATCACCCATCTGCGAGGGTGTGTAAATGGACGGTGGGAGAGTGAGTGAAAAGCTTGGCAAAAAGACAAATTTAGGGCTACAAGTGATAGGAAGTTGTAGAGAGCCATAATCGCCTACGTCCTGAGGGGTCAAGGCACAAAGAAGAATAAGTAGAAGGAATCAATTTTGCTGGTCTCTTTTTATTGTATTGATTTTTAATGAATAATGAATATCTTCACAGATGAAGTGCGTAACTGTGGCAACAGAGATGTGGTTCTACGCAAAGGACGCGGAGAATACCATGGGCGGAACATGTGGGCAACAAAGAAACTTTAAGGAAAATGGGAACGAAATCGACACTTTGTTTAGGCTAAGAAAGAGACAGTATTTACTTGCTTCTCCAATTTAGAGAGATCATATAGTTTAGAGGTCGTTTTTAATGCGGGCTGCCTATATGCGTACATAACTTTTGCGGTCCCCACGATCAATGTCAAGCGAGAGTTGTCATTTCTGTGATGCATAATGAAAAAAGACGGCTTGGAAAATTTACCGCTCAGGAGGACATATTAAAGCAAGAAGAACAGGTGGAAACAGTGATTTGCATAACTAATTGTTGTAGAGCAGTTTTCACAGTGGAGGCTTGTATTTCACTCAGTTGGTCCTAAATTAGGTTCGACGTACAAAACGTTAGGAACTTGAAATAATAGTTAATGACACAGCAATCTAGTTGTGGGGCTCATACTTTAATGTCCGACATCGACTGACTCACACAACTCACTGAGCTCCACTGGCGACTGCCACTACTACTACTTATCTGTGGGAGAGTCTATTTACAATAGAATAGGTACGTTCCGGTATAACACTAATGAGCTTGTATAAATGGATGGCAGGGACAAGGACCGTAAGATGTATAATCTTTATGAAATAGAACTAAAAACCTATCTTCGTTTGCACTCGCTCCTTCTCCGGCAAATTAAATTGATATATTATAAAGATTAAGTCTTTTAAAAATTATAAAATGTATTTATTCTTTTGTTGTCCTCGGACATTTTGGGCATTTTTTATGATTCCAGCCCAAGCAAAACAATAAAGTCACTAAAATGCAAGGGGTTACTGAGTGTAGAAAGAAAGAGAAGAGAAATAGAAAAAGAAAAATATTATTAAAGAGAGAGAACATTAAAAGAAAAGGAATTAAGAAGACAAGATATCGATTGGTATTTCATTTAAACTTTTCAAACTCATAGTTAAATGAAAAGTTGACTCATGAGAATTGTTACAGGTCTAGGGCATGCACGGTGCATATTTAGTTTGGAGTGTATTGAATGATATAAGTTAGTCTTTCCCCTTTGAGCTGGTAGAGTTAGATTAGAGGAGAGATCAGCTGCCAATGGTGATCAAGATATTTGGAAGTGCAGCCATACACTGTGATAGCATCTGCATACATACATATATATATATATATATATATATATATAAGTGAACATTGAAGTCAATACTTAGAGGTGACAGTCTGTTTCATGCTAGACGCAATCGTCAGACCACACCAGGTGTCGCCTGACGATTGCATCTAGGATGAAACAGACTGTCGCCTCTAAGTGTTGACTTCAATGTTCACTTTTACATACGCTCTATCTCTGATATTGAGCACTTCATCCCATAAATATAGCACACTATATTTCTTCATATATATATATATATATATATATTAAAGATTTGAAAGTGTTCTTGGGCAGATCAATAATATAATGTATGAAGTGGGGGACACCAGCATTGATTTCATATGCATCAGATTATATATATATATATATATATATATATATATATATATATTGCGTGTATTTGGGCACCAGTTGTTCATTTTTATGCCTTTTGTTAAAGGCCAACGAAAGTTCTTTGAACAGAGTCCACAAGCTAGAAGTGCGATAAAAAAAACTTTTAGCATAGAACTTACTGTTACACCTAGTCATTTCAAATTTAAAACGATGATACCTGACCGACAATCAAATACTGCACTTAAATTCGGAAAGTTGAAGTGTCAAAAGGGAAAGTAATATTTATTTTGATATAATACAAAAATGTGGCACAAAGCCAAAAGGGTCTTCAATCCGTCACATCTTAAACATAGCCATCATTACTGAACCAAACATACTAGTGTATTTCTTACCTTACACTAAAACAACCCATTGTTAATTACCATTTATCCTAGAGCCACCATAATACCCCAAAGTTTCTATGTAGTCCTAACTTGTTCCCATACGTACAATTTGTCTGTGGTGCTGGGGAATAAAAATAACATATAAAATGAAACCCCAATGAATATTTACAGAAAGCAAAGCTCATCAGAGCAATTACCATGAAAATAATTATCGAAAAGTCCCAAGGAAATATGTTACGGCGGTAAGAAAGTGACTGAAGACGAGATGATAGATCACGACCAATAATATTGCAGTAACTTCTTTGGAATTTAACAAGACTCTATAAATACCTATGAAAAGTAAGAGACCAGATGAGACGCTTTGTTTTTTATGTTATATGTTTATATTGTCAAAATAACAGCACGAGCTTACTCTGTATATATATATATATATATATAAATATATATATATAAATCAATGAAAAAATGAGGCCACTGAGTTACCAACTACTGAACAGTGGAGATATTTTAGAGGCACTTGTTATGTATCTATCTATCAAAATCATGTTTTAGAAATTGAAAAACGAACAATATTCTTCTCTCTTATTACTATCGAGAACGTTATCTCAAATTATCTCAGCGGGTGACATTTACTACCGGAAGTCGCAATTGCAGGCATTCTAAGTGTTTGCATATTGTTATTCCAGCTTGCAGGAATGAGATATGCTCTTTCTAAGAGTACAAACTGAAACGTTATATAATTCCTAAAAGAAAAGACTTTTTGGTTAGACCGAGAACTTTTAAGAATCCATGGAGCAACAACAGAATAAACAAATCGTATTTCAAAAACCATATTACAATTTTTAGGTACTTTTTTTGTTGGAAAATATCACTAAAATATTTTTCATATTCACGTGGAATTTTCTTTCATTATATAATTTTTTAGCGTTTATTAAATAAAGAGAGAGAGAACGGACAGCCAGGCTTCAAAAACAACAAGAGTAAGAAAAGAGAAATCGCTGTCATGAATGAAATCAAGCATAGCAGCAGAAGCAGCAACAGCAGTGACAGCGGCAGCAGTATCAGTAGGAATATCAGCAGCAGACAGGATGAAAGAACATTTAAGGCTCATCCGTACATTATTATTGTAGATTAAAGTTCGTAAATTTGGTGATATGGTATTTGTGAGTTCAATCTCTGAGCCTGGTAGGACATACTTAGAAGAAGATGAGATATCTTAATGCATGGGTGGAGAACAATCTACCTCCCTAGATTCAGTCGAGGTTTCAGGCCGAAATTCATTGAAAGTAACCCGGATCAACAAAGGCCGGATGTACAAATACCGAAACGTTGTGATAATAACAAAAATGACAATGAAATTGACGTAGATAATTTCTTAATGTAAAAGTAAAACAAGAACCGATAAGGAAAGTGAGATAAAAACTCTCGTTTCTTCACACATCAGCATTTTTACATTTAGGTCATTTAAGTGGCAAGTTTACCTGCCCCCCCTCCCCCAACGCCAACTTTCATTTCACACTTCCAATCCTTTCTTTCATTTAGTATGATTTTAAATATTACAAATACACTTTTACCAAATATCCATGCATGAAAGGTGGATCCTTAATTGCTCTATGTTGATATCTAATATCGTCCCTTGGTACAGCTTTTAATACTCCATAACCGTATGTAAGTGTTAGTTGTACCATATAACCTAATAATACCTTCTGCATGGTTGGGTCATCGGCGACGAAACTGGTCCCGACATTATACTTTTCTAGTGAGGTGGGTGTCTAAACACCCAGTAAGATTAAAAACATGATACGTCAATATGCAGATTAAAACCGATTCCTCCACCAGGCTTTTTTGATGAGGAGTTTGGCTAGACACCAAGTGGTATTAAAAACATGATACG